CATTTTCCTTTCTATACAGAGTGTTGGACTATTTTTTTGTGTGTTTGTTACTATTTATTCATTGAATTTAATTATTCTAATAAAATATTATAGTAAAAGAGAAATCACACATTCTCAGAAATTAGGCCATCTCAGGTGGGTCCCACCACCTTTGGATTAGAAGTCCAACGCGCTATCCATTGCGCTACAGGGACACATCGAACGATTTTCAATTCCTAAATATGCTGTTGGACTATTATATTTTCGGTTGTTAATATTTATTCATTTTTTAATTTAATAAATGAATTAATATTTAACAAAACTGTATTAACATCAAGTGTCAGCCACTACAAGTTTTAAAAACATTATTTGGACTTGAATGGATGAATAGAAAGTATTTATTAACGATTGAAAATTGGAACAAGATAGATATATATAAATGGATTTTTGTATATATGAAATAGCATCATTCGAACACACCGTTCAACCGATGACTATGAAAATTGACATGTATATGTATTTTTTTGTGGAGAAGATATTTGTGATAACGTCTTTGTTTCAGCTCCCCACAAGGTGGCACTACAGCATATCAACTTCTGCACCATTTAATCAATCGCCAAGTTGCCAACAGGATCGCCAAAAATGATGTCAACTTGGCTCTATCGCCAACACTTCGCTATGTTTCTATAGAATCGCCATTATAATGTAAGAAACGGCGTTGCTTGCGAATATTACAAATTTGGCATAAAATAAATGCAACAGAAAGTAGTATTAATGTATTACATATCCAGATATAAATTATTTACACTATTTTAAGAGTTTCTTTACACAAAATGTGTAACAAAGTGTTACTTTTGCTGAGAAGAGATCAGTTTAGGAAGGGTTTTTCAAAAATCGACCCACAAGAGAGTTACGGGGCGTTATAAATCAAAAATTCCTTTTTATCAGCTATTAGATCTACAGACTTAAAATTTAATAAATATGTTTTTTTTTTTTTTTTTTTTTTTTTTTTTTTTTGTTCAGCTGAGATATGCAAAAGGCGTCTTTTGTTTTGTTTAACTTGCAATTCACGTCAAACTAACTCATTAAAAACTTCTTTATCCTTCCATCTGTATTGCTCAGTTTTTCAATTCACCTGTGTGAAGAGAGAGTTATGTGTAAATATATATATAGGGAGAGAGTAAACTAATAGTAGAGGAATTGAAACACAGCATGCTTTTTTTATTTCTTTTAGAACTTCTTAAATTAGGTAAGTTTTCAAAATAAGAAAGAAAAACTAATATATATATTTGTGTTTTAAAAGATATTTCAAATCGATATTTAAATATATCTCAAATGACTTCTAAAAAAATTCCCTACATTTAAAACATTACTAGTCGGTTCTTTTTCATTCTAAAAATTTTATTTTAAATTAAGTTCCTTTTCCTTCACCTCGTGAAAAACTCTTAACATTTGAATTTCAAACAAAAATAACAGATATTCTCGATAAATCGTATAACTCAATAAAAAAAAATTGTTTCTTTTACGCAAAATTTTCTACTGAAATAAAGGTATATAAGAATGCTTACAGACAGAAACATTTTTTCTACGGGGAAGAGAGGGAGAAAAACAATTTTGTATGATTGTTTCTCCCGAACAATAAATGCGTGCGAACAACTTAATAAACTCTTTCGTCTTTTGATAAGTTTGTGTTTTGTTTGTTTCTGCTCAAAATGTGCCAAATATAAGACAAATTTTTAAGAGTGCTTACATTTTGCTTTTGAATAATAAAACTTGCAGTTCTCAAATGAAATATTTTTTTCACAACCCCTTTATGACAGAATATATATTTAAAGCTTAAAGAATCTCTCTACCCACCAGTCGAAATTTTAAACTCATAGGATTTGTTTACAATAGCAAGAAAAGTAAAGCAATTTCTTTCCCCGATTTTCAAAATTTCCTCCCATAAACATAGCTGCAAAGAAGTAGTAATTTATGAAAATGCTCGTTTCATCTTTTAGAAACTCTTTAAATTCGCATGGAGGGATCAGGAATTTAATAATCCTAAAAGTTGAAAAAGTTTGCTATAAATTGGAATGAACATAAATTTCAAATCGGTTTTTGATGAAATACATATTGCTTGTTTTTCTTATCTTTATTGTTAAAATACGATTTCTAAGAGTTTTCTTTGTATGTTAGGCTATATGCACGGGATTTATTCATCTGTGAAATTTCTGTGAGAAATAATTTTTTCATTTCACTCTAAATCTTTTGTTGAAAATTAGTATTGCTTGGGCTCTTTTGATGGTAAGCGAATTATTTGTCACCACATGTAATTAACCAATCCAGTTACTAAAAGCAAAACATATTACTCCTTCCTTAAGTATTCCATTATCAGACATAGATTGAACTAAATATAACAACACTCTTCGTTTTCCTAACCTGATGTGTGGTAGCGGTAACCTAGTGGCATGAGTTCAAAACTAGTACCGTTTAAGACCCACCGTGCAGAAGGGCCCGATGCACGTCAAGGTTCAAACGCCTTGCCGTTGGTGTGGTGTGTAAGTTAGGAAAGGAGGCAGGTCAAGTGTCCCCTTCGTCACTTGACCATGGTTCAAAATGACGAGGTCCATCGCCAATAGCCCTCGTGAAGCTTTATAGTGCTCCTGAAATATAACCTTAGCATGATGTATTTTGTATTGATTTTCATTCTTAAGTAATTTCATTCAGATTTAAGTCACATAATATTTATTATTAATATCAAAGCATTAATTTTTTTCAAAATCCGAGGTGAAATATTTGATTTCGAGATTCTGTGCTCCTCACATCCCAGACCTTACATTCAATTATTGTTATTTACTTAGGAGAAGTGAAGAAGAATTCTAATAACGTCGCACACACACACACACTACAAAGATGCTCTTACCGATGGAGTTTTGAGCAGGGGTCAAGTGGCGAGGAATCTCCTCTCCAAAGGAAGAACGTTTGAGCCTTGAGACGAATTTAACGTGCCCACCCTCTCTACGGGACGGGTTTTCAGAAGCACTAGGCTCGAATTCATGACAAGGCAGCCACGAGTTTGTGACCTTGACCACTAGGCTGCTGTGGCCACATTTCTTCAGGATAAAGAAGTCCTTTTTCAAGAAAAGTTTTTTCTCTTTAAATGTCCTCTGAGCCTTGTGTTCAAGGTAACGGACTCGTGTTATGAGTTCGAGCCTAGTGTCGCTAAGACCCGCCCTGTAGGGGGACGTTAAATCTGACGAAGCTCAAACACCCTCCTGTTGGTGTGGAAGTTAGAAGGAGGAGTGCCAGCTCAGGTGTCGTCTTTGTCACTTGACCATGGTTCAAAAGGACGAGCCAAAAGCCTTCGAGTAGCTGAAGAGTGCTGCGTTTTTATTCACTCTCACTCAGTTGAAAGACTGGAATTTAAAGTTTTTAAAGAGATGAAAAAAATATTTTTAGTAGGGGCGTAAAAATTAGATTTCAATGTATGGAGATCTTTCAAAGAAAAAAAACAGATAGATAAATTAACTATCACTAATATTTTTATAATGGAAAGTAAGCTTGTTTTTTCTAGAATTACCATTACACGTTATAACAAATTGCGTATTTTCTTGCATATTTTGTTTTCGAAACATCTAAAGAGTATGCATGAATAAAACATTTAGGTATATATTACTACAATTATTTTTAATTTACCTTTTCTTCACAATTAGACAAATACTAGCCCAACTAAATTAAGAAACTACATGCGTAATTTGAAGCATTCCAATATTCCTTTTGGCGTACAGTTCAGTCGAATTCAATCCATTCTTTTCAATTTAAGCAATGCTATTAAACTTCCTTTCTTTTTACACATTGTAGCTTTGTATACAATTGATTGCAATGCTTATTATCTTATTTTGCCCTCATTAATCACGGTTAACGTTTTAAAAGAGGTTAAATGTACCCACTAAAAGATAATCAACTAATCAATCACACAAACAATATTTAAATTCATTTTCATACATTAAAATAATCTAGCGCACAAATAAATAATGTAATGAATGGATGAAAATTGGTTCTACTCCGAAACTCCCACAAACTACATTCATTAGGTTTTTTTAACTGTTATTTTCTTCCGAACTGATAATTAAATCTCAAGGTAATTGAACCTGAATCTATTAAGCCATTAATTATAATAAAAGTAAATATTGATTTTTAAATTTAAGAAACACAGTATTAAGTCATTTGATTGAGCAATTTTATTTTTAAATACATATTAAGCTTATTCGCACAATTTTAAACCTTAAATGTATTTTCTAGAAGTATTTCCCGCATACCTGAAATCTTTCGGGTGTTTTGGACAGACAGTAAAAAAAAAGCAGTCACAAATTCAGTGAAGCATTCTAGGAATTTCTGGACGGAATTCCACGGTAGACAATACCTGAAAAGTCGTCGAAGATAGATTTGGAGAATGTTAGGAAAGACAGGAAACCCAAGATAAATAAATTCAATAAATATTTACTTACGGCACAAAAGTTATTTCGCGGTATCAATACATAATAGATGGTTTGAAAAATTCTTTTGAACGATACATCTCTTGCACAAATAATCGTTTAAAATTTGTTCAGGCTTTAGAATGCATCTATAGAGGCAGTTACATATGAATACGAGACATATAAAATACATTTTTGCTAGAAATATTACAGAGCCAAAAAATATCTTACTTAAGAGAACATGTGACACTACTTAAATATATTATTATTACATCATGAATTCAATATTTATGATGGCCATCATAAGACCAAGCAATCATAAGACTGTTTATGAATTCAATCCATTTAAACTTACATCTGAATATGAGTTGAGTTTTATAATTAAAAAAAAAACAGCTTAATAATTATATAGTTGAACGCATAAAATTATATAAATCTTCCATACCTAATAAAAATTCATATCTCCTTAAAAAAGGAAGTAAACACAGTGAATAAACAGACAAATCCTAACAATTACCAAAAATATAAACTCAGCCGTAAACCAGCCATTTTTAAACCTTGGAACCATTGCCTTAGGTACGCATATGACTTTAAAATGGGCAACTTCGGAAAGCAAATAAGAGTACTTGGACTACAAATCTGTTCGCAAAATTAATCTCTCAAGAGTGCCACCCATCCGGTAGAGTGCTTAGGGAAGCTGTGTCATAGAGCCTGGATTCGAATCTTGGAGAAGGCATGAATGTTTGTAAATATTCATC